GTAAAGTACACTTTTTATGTTCAAAGTAAAGTAAAGTAAATTAATGTAAAGTAAAGTTAAACTTAACTTTACTTTGAACATAAAAAGTGAACTTTACTTTACTTTTTAATTTAATTTAATTTAATTTAATTTAGTTTAATTTAATTTTACTGAAAGGTTAGGAATATATTTGTGGTCAGAAATTGTACAAATCTAGTCCTGTTTGAAGTAAAGTAAAGTAAAGTAAAGTAAAGTAAAGTAAACTTTATGTTCAAAGTAAAGTAAAGTAAAGTACACTTTTTATAAAGGAATTTTGTAATTTCTGATATATCCCTGTTTCTCAACACCGTTATCCAATATCATTAATATTATTATATTACTCTCTATATTTTCACTTTCTGTATTCAAATGTAAGTGCATACAGGTGTGAATGTCCGCTGTTCTCCATCTAGTTTTGTACATCTGTGTCAGAGTGACGGCTGCTGTCTGTGCTTGAGCTCTCAGAGGCCTGTAACGCTGCATGCGAGGGTTTAACGGGGAGCCGTCCTGTTTAACGGCCTGGACTTAGACTTCACTGCATGTTCCCTGTCAGCTGATGGAGACAGACTCTCTAATTATCAGACAAAATGAGATCTACACTGAAGCGAAGGCTGAGTAACCTCTGATTGATACAGTATGGGCATCAGCTCAGAGCTCTGCTTCAGACCGGTTTAAAGGTTATTTTGACATTGCAGGTGTTTTGTGTAACCTTAACAGTCTCACTTATTAATGCTCTTAGAAATGGATGCATTTGTCATTGTACATTTACAATGTAATATACACTACTGTTCAAAAGCAGAAATTAATACTTTTATTCAGCTAGGATGCATTTAAAAAAAGTTACAAAAGATTTATATTTCAAATAAATGCTTTTCTTTTGAACTTTCTATTCATCTGTGAATCCTGAAAAATAAAATTTATCACGGTCTCCACAAAAATATTGTGCAGCACAACTGTTTTCAACATTGATAATAATCAGAAATGTTTCTTGAGCAGCAAATCAGCATATTAGAATGATTTCTGAAGATGATGTGACACTGAAGACTGGAGTAATGATGCTGAAAATACAGCTTTGTTCACAGGAATAAATTACAGTTTAACAGATATTCACATAGAAAACAGCTATTTGAAATTGTAATAATATTTCACAATATTACAGTTTTTACTGTATTTTTGATCAAATAGGTGCAGCCTTGATGAGCAGGAGAGACTACTTTCAAAAAATCTTACTAACCCCAAACTTTTGAACATTATATTTGTCTTTCTTAAGTACTATTGTCCTGCTTTGAAACAGCAAAACACATCTGAATATAGTAGTAATAAAAAAGTAACTAACTAAATAAAACCTACTGTACCAAAGAGTAATGCAAACATGATTTTGCAACAAAATGAATAATATATATATATTTTTAGTTTTCCCATGTTCTTACACAGTTATAAGATGAATTATTGTTTTAGTGGCTCGAGATATTTGTTATTTTCATGACTTTTTACCTAATCATATTTTCCTTGCAGATTTTTTTTTGTTTGATTTACCAGCATTTTTTAAAAGAGTGATCTGCTTGTTTCAAGAGGGCATCACCGTCCTTATAACGAGACGTGTATTCAATCAAAATAAAGTGAACCTTTTTGGCAATTTCACATCTTGTTTCATATTTCTCTCTGATAAACTGGCTAAATGAGTAGCAGCCTGTATTTTCTCTCAAGCTTTATAGCTACACTTCGTCAAAAGTACACAAAATGTGTAAAAAGTCAATATTAACAAATTATTTCAATAAAATATGATCAGATTTCTTCGCCTCTGATTCATGAAATAACACGCCTCAACACGAACAGCTGGGGCTCAAAGAATCTCGAGTTTCTCTCTGGTATTTACGAGACTTCTGTGGTGTTTATGTGTGCTGATCTCATAAATGCAATCATGTCAGCAGGGTTCAAGGCAGAAATAGTCATTCAGTCAATCAGGATCCACACATCCGTGTCTGTTTAGACTCTCACAGATTCTGTGTTATTAAACGTTTGTCCCGTTCACAGAGGAACACGTGTGACTGACACATTGACAAAAGCAGAAGTTCATTTGTATGTCTGCGGATCTAAATGTGTCCTGACAGGCCAACAAAAGAAAAGAGGGAAGTTTTTGCGATTAATTGTGTAATATGAGCTTGAGTGAAGAATGGCGATGCGTGAGATTAATTTACAAACGCTGTCGGATTTTTCACTTTGACTGTCAAATCAGTCAGAAGAGAAGTTCAAGTAACTGAAACCCACCAGCTTTGGGCAACATTATTGTATTATTAGGTGAACTGTAAACAAGGCTTTTTGTCAGTTAACGGCATGTGCGATGCGTTCAAATATCTAGATCAAGTTGATATTTTTAGATCCGGGGAAGTCGTGGCCTAATGGTTAGAGAGTCGGACTCGTAACCCAAAGGTTGTGGGTTCGAGTCTCGTACCGGCAGGGATTGTAGGTGGGGGGAGTGAATGTACAGCGCTCTCTCCCACCTTCAATACCACGACTGAGGTGCCCTTGAGCAAGGCACCGAACCCCCGACTGCTCCCTGGGCGCCGCAGCATAAATGGCTGCCCACTGCTCCGGGTGTGTGTTCACGGTGTGTGTGTGTGCACTTAGGATGGGATAAATGCAGAGCACTAATTCCAAATATGGGTCACCATACTTGGCCACATGTCACATCACTTTTACTTTTCACTTTCATATGTTGCTAAGATGCTATAATAAACTTTTAGGTTGCAATGCATTGCATTCTCCACAAGAACAAAACACACTGCCTCTGAATTTGGCCCACAATGTGGGAATCTCATGAAACCATCAGTCCAGGTCACATTTGACCCCAAAATTGAAAGAAAAAATAAATAATATTTTGCATAAAGGAAACTCAGTTTTTTTTATAAACTACCAGCCAAAAGTTTGGAATAATTACTTTTTTTTTAAAGAAGTCTCTTCTGCTCACCAGGGCTGCATTTATTTGATTAAAAAATACAGTAAAATTGTGAAATATTATTACAATTTAAAATATCTGTTTACTATGTGATTATATGTTAAACTGTAATTTATTTCTGTGATCAAAGCTGTATTTTCAGCATCAGTGTCACAGACTCCAGTCTTCAGTGTCACATGATCCTTCAGAAATCATTCTAATATGCTGATTTGCTGCTCAAGAAACATTTCTGATTATTATCAATGTTGAAAACAGTTGAGCTGCCAAATATTTTTGTGGAATCCATGATACATTTTTCTGGATTCACAGATGAAGAGAAAGTTCAAAAGAACAGCATTTATTAGAAATAGAAATCATTTGCAACATTATAAATGTCTTTACCGTCACTTTTGATCAATTCAATGCATCCATGATGAATAAAAGCATGAATTTCTTCAATTCAGCGTTAGAATGATTTCTGAAGATCATGTGACACTGAAGACTGGAGTAATGATGCTGAAAATACAGCTTATAATATAATATAATATTATCATATATTATGTGACTACTTTTGTGGTGATTTTTTTGTCCTTTTTAAAGCTTGCTAACAGAAGCCACTTATACTGAATGGAAAAGAGTAGCTCAGACATTCTGCATTTTGTATCTTTTGTGTTTTATGGAAGAAAGAAAATCCTACAGGTTAAAACAGCACGAGGATGAGTAAACGCTGAAAACATGTTCAATGTCCTCTTTTCAAGGCTCGTCATTAGAAAGCCTCAGAAGAGCTGAACGGAGCCGATAAGAGCTCGTATGTTGACACAGCTGCTCTCTGATCGAGGGACACCAGACTGAGCTTCACTAATTAATACTGGTAATTCGGCTGATGATTTACACTGGTTTTCTAAAGCTGGGAAGCGTGTGAATGCAGGGGCCTGATGCAGAGGAATTTTCACCGCGTGTTTCGAGGGTCAGTGTGGCTTCTACCTGGATTTGAACTTTCTCTTCTTGATCTGGGACGACATCTGCATGCTGTGAGACATCTGCTCCATCTGCTCCTCCTGGCAGCGCTGGGTTACTATTTTGGTTGCCATGGCGAAGCTCTCGGCAGCACCTGCATGGGAGCAGAACGACACGGCTGTCAGAAGGCAGACACACAACAGCAGACACACACCAGTGCCGATACAAGACGAGTCACGGCCCATTCCCATCACCTCTCCAAAAAACAGACCACAAAAACCATATTATAGAGTACATGACTTATGCAACATATTATAGTCTCAATCTTCACTCTACATGTGGCCCTGGCCTTATTATGGCAACACAATAAAGAGTTAATCTCACAAAACCTGTCAAGAGCACACATTTCACTCAAGGATATAGAATATTTCGCATAAAAATGAATTTTTAGGGCAATTCATTGACTAAAACTAAAACCATATAAAAAAAAAAAAAAAAAATGTCATTGCTTGAAACATAATAAATATTAAATAAAATATAAAAGACAAACAAACACGCACGCACGCACGCACGCACGCACGCACGCACACACACACACACACACACACACACACACATT